CCCAGTAACTCTTCCCTGCACCCAGCCCAGGCTTCGCCCCGGCCCGCGCGCGCACGCTCGCCGCCCATTGGCCGCGGCGCGCCCACATGCAAATGACCCGCCGTCCCGCCCGTCCATTGGCTGGCCCGGCGCCGCGGGTGGGCCGGCCTGCTCGAGGGGGCGGCTCCCCTGGGTCCTAAAGACAGTTCCGGCCGCGTCCCGAGAGAGCCGAGTCGCGTGCCCGGCCGCCTCGCGGGGCCTGCTCTGGGCCCGAGCGCCGGGCTGCGCCGCAAGTTCAAGTCCCTGCTGCCGAAGCTGCAGCCGCTGACGCCTTGGTCCTGTTTCTGAGTGGCGTCTGATTCGTGATCATCTTGCGGGGAACCTGCTTTCTTAGCTTCATTCGCTCTGGTTGTGTGCAGGGGATGGGGTGGGTGGGAGAAAGATGGCGAAAGCACCCCAACTCTCCAGGGTGCGTGCAAGTCGGGTGCCACCTGTAGGGGCCCAGGCATTGGTGAATTCCCCTCACCGAACCCAGGTTCAAGCTCCGAGCTCACCCTTACTAAGGAACCTTGGTGATTTACCGGTATGACCCAGGGCATGGTAACAGGGCCTTGCTAGAGAGGGGTAAGGATCTCGGTATGCAGTGAGCAGTCAGTCAGCAGATACAGGGGTCTGTGCACAGGGGCCCCAAGATGGCTCCCTGACCATCCCACTGCCTGGCCAGCCCCTGGACTATGGACATAGCAGATCTACTTCCCAGCCCTTTCAGATGCCCTCCTCCTTTCCTGGGTGGCAGCTGGACCCTTGCCCCTTGATTGGGGTCCTGGCCGGGCCCTCTTTACTGGTGGGCTAGGGGCCTCACAGGGAAGGGCGTTCAGTCACCCCCTACTGGGCAACCCCATCCTTCCACAGAATCCTTGTGTCTAAGGCAGTGGTTCTCCACCTTCCTAATGCCACCACCCTTTAATGCAGTTCATTTTGTGGTGACCCCCAACCATAAAATTATTTTCGTTTTTACTTCATCACTGTAATTTTGCTACTGTTATGAATTGGGAGACCCCTGTGAAAGGGCCGTTCGACCCCCAAAGGGGTCGCGACCCACAGGTTGAGAACCGCTGGTCTAAGGTGTAGGCAGTGTGTTGGGTGGCTGGCCCAGAAGGCAGGTGTGTGTATAGCATGCAGGTCTGGTTTTATTTAATTCTGGGGGAAAACTAATCAATGTGACTCACAAGTGGGGACACACACAGACACACACACACACACACATCTGGACTTCAGGTTCTGGAGAAAGCTCTGTCCCTGTGGGTGAGCTGCCCGCAGAGAATGGAGGGGCAGCGAATGGAGCAGCAAACACTGGACCAGTGACTGGGGCCTGCTGTTGGGGAGGGGGCCGTGTGCAGGGCTGGGTAGGTGGGACAGCAGAGGGGAACCTGGATCTTGCCACAGACCGGCCATAGAGCAGACTTTGTCCTTTTGTGGGCTCCCGGGCACATTCAAGTGCCTTTTGGGTGGGGTGTGGTCTGTGGCTCCTGTGGCTCCTCCAGGCAGCTGTGGAAGCTGAGCTGGCCCTGCTGACCCTGCTTCAGCTGCCCGGCACCTGTTGTCTGGGGCCCCACCAGGGGGCGCCTGAGACCGCCCCAAGTTAGCTGGGGCAACTGGTGATGGAGAGGTGGAGGGCGGGTGGGGTGGGGGCGCTGGCCTGGAATGGTCCAAGCATCCTGCGGGGAATGGGGTGATGTATAGTTCATGCTCCCATTCTCCCAAAGGGCAAACTTAGGGAGAGGGCTCGGCAACGGGGTCAGGAGCACTTCTGCGGTGAATGGCCTTGCAGCCCTGTCCTCGGATGGACCACAGTCCCACTCGAAGGCTGCTTTGCATTCCTGGCCTGGCTCCTGTGTGCCTGGCCGACCGAGGCGTGGTGGCTGGCCTGGCTTGGTGCCGGTGCTAGGCAGGTGGGGAGAGGCTGCCTAGCTCTCCCAGTCTGAGGGACTGCTGTCCTCAGTGTCCAGCGGGCTCCCTGGCCCTTCGGCCACTGCCAGGGGCTCCCGCCGTCTCCTTCTTCCTCGGGATGATTTCTTGGAGGCTGTGGGATGGTGGAGCCAAGGTCATGGAGGCCTGGGGGGGCTGGTGGGAAGGGCCGGGGCACCCACGGGACCCGTCTGACCACTGACCGCTGACCTGACTGGGTGGGGGCTGCCATCCCAACCAGGATGCCTCCTCAGCTTCAGCCTCCACAGGAAGACCTGGAGGCTGCCCCACCCCGACTTGCCCACCACCCTTGGCTCCATTCAGGACCCATGGGGCAGTGGAAAAGGCAGGGGTGCCAGACCCTCAGCCCTGAGCAGCAGTGGCGGCCTGCCCCTCAGGCCACTCCCAGGTTATGAGCTCAAGTTCACAGCTGAGCATCAGGGACTGAGAGCACTCCCACCCTGGAGCCAGAGTGGAAGTGTGAAGGGGAGGGGAGTCCTGAGTCCCCTGTTGCCGCATCTGTGGAGCAGGAGCCCAAAGCACCACCATCAGCATATATATGACGTGGTCCAGCACTATGAGTGGCCGCAGCATCCAAGGTCTGTCCTCTGCTGTGCTGCCCTTTGAGGGTGAACAGCAGAGGGGAGTGGAGGGGCCAGGGTCCACCTGTGGGCAGGACAGTGCTGGTGGTGCCGCAGATGGGAATGATGGTTGTGTGTGGACCCACTAAACCTCCCAGAGGCTCTAGAGCTGGCCCCTCTGACAGTTAAGAGGTGGCAGGCTGGGCCAGGCTCTGCTCCCACACCTGGCTTGTCTCTGCTCTCTCACTGGAGGGTCCAGTTGTCTGAGCAAACCCACTCCCCAAATGGCCAGACTTAAATGGTACCTGCCTGCCCAGTAACTCTTCCCTGCACCCAGCCCAGGCTTCACCCCGGGCCGTTGGGCCCTGTCCCTGCTCTTTCTCATATTGGCCCTGACCAGTCCCCCTCCCTGCCTTGCAAGCCCTGCGGTCCAGTCTGTGCCCTGGCTGGAGCCCAAACTCACTTTCCAAGTGGGCCCCGCCCAGACCCCGCCCACTGGCACTCCTTGCACCCCCACCCCCTGGAAGGTACCTTTGCCCAGTGAGTCGGATGTCCGCTTCCGCTTGCCCTGCAGACCCTGACCCTGCTCTTCGGCACAGAAGCCCTGGGATCCCTCGCCTGGCGAGCTGAGCTTGGCGCTGGCTTCCGCACTCGGGGACTTCTGGGCAGAAGTGGGTCTGGTGAGAATGAGGACCCCCACCCCCACCCCACCCTGGAACCCTGGTGCTGGCCTGTGGAACAGGACCAGGACCCACCTTGTTGTCTGAGGTATCTGGCTGGGCCTCTTCACCGGATTCAGACCTCTGTGCCTCCTTGCTGGACCCTTCGGGACACAGGGTGTGGGTCAGGCCAGGCTGGGGGTCTGGCCATAGTGCCCAGACCAGTCAGACAGAGCAGGTGACAGTGCCAAGGGCACTCTGCAGGTGGCCGCAGTGTCCTAGCCCACGACTGGCCAGTGGCCAGCAGGGCCACTTCTTGGCAGTGGGCGTCTCACTGGACAGTCTCACCCTACCCTCAGCCCCACCCACCCGGAGGCGTTTCCTTTGACCAGGTGGGAGGGGTGCCTGTCTGGGCCCCTAACTCCCTCTTGGGGCCTGCAGGTGGGGAACCCAGGTACGGGTTTCAGCTGGTCAAGCTGAAGAGCTGAACTGGGTCCCAAACCACCAGGGTGCCCCCTCCCAACATGACACCCCCTCCCAGCATGACGCCCCTCTGGCTGGACCCTGGTGGCTGTGGTGGGGCTCCGCTCACCTGGGTGGCCATAGGTGTCAGGTCCCATTAGGTGAGCAGGTGCCTGGGACCTCCCTCTGGGCTCATTCACAGTTCCTGCTGGAGAGGGGAGGCGGCCCTAGGAGGGCCAAGTACATGGCTTGACTTCCTTTGGGGGACTGCCCCCCTGCCCCAGCCCAGCCCAGCCCAGCCCAGCCCAGTTGGCAGGACCCAGTTCCTCCTGGGTGGGGATTCGGCCCCTGGGGGAGTGGGCTTTGAAAGCTAGGGAGAAGCAATCTGTTCCTGGAGACCCCGGCCGGTTGCCAGCCTGGGACACAAGGACTGAGCCCAAACCGGGGGAGGGGAGGCCCTTACCACAGGGGCAGGGGCCTCTTCCAGCTCTGGTGCCCCGGCCCCCTTGACGCCGTTCCTGAGTTCCCAGGGACTGGAGGCCAGGGCTCCCGACTGGGCTAGGGGCTCGGTCTCCTGGGGTGACTCTGGGTGGGGAGTGCCTGAGGGGCAGAGTGAGGCAGGGCAGCAGGCGGGCTCGGGGGTGCCTCGGCCCCGGCCCCACCCTGAGAGGTCCAGGGCCTTGTCGGGAGCATGCTCCAGTGCAGCTGCCGTCCCCGGGGGGCTGCAGGGGGCCGGGGGCCGCAGGGAGTGTCCTCCGTGCTGGGCTGCTCTGGTCAGCGGGGTCCCACCTGCCTCCACATCCTCCGGGCCCTCGGAGTCTGAGCCGATGGGTGGGGAGGGCGGTGTGCTCCGTGGCCTGGCACTGCTTGCCCACGCTCGGAGCTGCTGCTGGGCCAGGAGCAGGTGCAGTGTGCTCTCCAGCCGTGGGCTCCGGCCATCCACCAGGGACCCTGGCAGGCCCAGCAGGCTGCTGGGCTCCTCCCAGCCCTTGGCTTCTGTGGCCTTCCGGCTCCGTGGCCCAGGACCACTGGGGGCTTTGGTGGTCAGGGGGCTGCTGCGGGGGTTGCAGGGGTGCAGGACCAGCTGGCGGCTCAGGAGGCCAAGGCGGTCAGGGGTCAGAGCTTCGAAGGCCGTGACGGAGGCTTGGGGGGTCCGCAGGCGGCTGCAAGGGTGGGGGGGACCACGTGAGGCCTGCAGCCTGCGGGGGGCCAGTGGTGGCTGAGCAGATGTAGGGAGAGGCAACAGCTACCCATTGGGGAACTGAGCCCCAGGGACTTGAGGGTAGTCCTAGCTCTGGGCTCTGGAGACCACCTGACGTGGGCAACGCTGGGCTGGCTGCTGCCTCCTCCTCATCCCTCTCCTCCTTCCCCTCAGAACAGCGGTGCCTGTACCTTCCCTCTTCACCCGCTCCTCCGGCACAATCTGCATTCTCAGTCCCTGGACACAGGCAGTCTGGACCTTAGATCCATGGGTTACCCCTCCCCCCAAGGCATGGTCACTGGGGCGGGGGTGTTGCATGGGGACTTTGCACCAGGTAGGTGCCCAGAAAAAGCTAAGCCAGAGAAAGGAGGGGGCTCCCGGGGGCGATAACCAGACAGACTTCCTGGCCCCTCTGGGTAGATTCTGAGATGGAATCTCAGGAGAGGCCTCTCCAGGTGACACCAGTGGGTGGGACCCTTACCTGTCCAGGGGTAGGCTGGGCTCGTAGGGGGGACTGGGGGGGTTGCTCCTGGCAGGTGGAGGGGGCGTCCCGTTGAGTGTGCCCTGGTCCGAGGGGTACACCTGGGTCCCGGGCCGGACCACCGCGATGGTCCCATGCAGCTGGTTGGAGATGCACTGGGGGCTCTGAGAAGGGCAGTGGGTCAGCTGTGCCGAGACCGTCCACCCTTTGCCCTCTGATCCCAGCCAGGGCTTGAGCCGGGTGGGCCAGCCAGTAGGGGAGGGGACAGCCTCCCTTCCGCCCCAATCCCAGGAGCCCTGCTGGGGACTGGCACTCACTGTGTCCGGGGCCTTCGGCTCGCCAGGGGAGATTTTGGTGAGGGGCGAGATCCGGCTCCCCAGCAGCTGTTCTGCAGGGGAGAGGGAGCAGGAGAGGCTGGGTGCCGGCCCAGGGAACTCTGTACCCCAGCGGGGCCCCCACCTTGCCAGCACATACCTTCTCCCCGAGGCTCTGCACTGGGACTCTGGGCCTGGGGCTCCTGGTGGCCTGGAGGTGACTGCTCAGTGCTGGCCTTCCCATCGTCCAGCGAGGACAGCGGCAGGGGTGAGGGCGGGCCTGAGGGGCCCTCCCTGCTCAGGGCCGTGGGTCTGTCTCTGGAGGGGAGGCAAGGTCGGGGAGGTGAGGGAAGACTGATCCCCCAGATGAGCAGAAAGGCCAGGGACCCTCGAGGGGTCAGGAGAAGGGAGAGCCAGTTTTCTACCCTGTAGTCCACCTTCTGCCACCGGCAGGGCTTAGCTCGGGCCCCAGCCATGACCCCCAGCCCCCAGGGTAGCCTCGGGTCAGGCTGCTTTGGGGGGGATAGGGACTGCTCTGTTTTGGGGGTGGGGACTCACTCTGGGGGTGTGGAGACTGCTCTGTTTGGGAGCATCCATTCATTTTCTTAGGAGTCTCCCCTTGGATGGTGGTCTGGGGGCCCCCCCTCCCCCCTACGCCATGCACCCTGGTGGGTGGACTGGCACAGCCCCTGCCCCACTCACTCCAGGCCCCGAAGTCGCTTCACCTCTTCCCTCAGACTCTTGTTCTCCTCCTTCAGACTGGCCATCTCGTTGGCTGTGGGAGTGACTGGTCAGTGATGGGGGAGGGGCCCTCCTCACAACCTGGTGACACCTCCTCCAGGTCTGGCTCCCAGCTCTGCCCCCAGTGCTTGGTCCAGGGTCGGGCACAGGCCCATGAACTTGCACCGAGGCCTGAAGTCTGTCCAGCTTGGCCTTAGTCCTCCGTGGGCTGGGGGCCCCTCCTCTGTGAAAGAGGAAGCCGAGGCGCAGCGGGGAGTGGGGACCCCTCCACCCCCAGGGCTGATATGGGACCTGGCGGGGGCCCTGGGCATGGGTGTCCTGGCCCGTCAAGTGGGCTGGGGGCTCCTATCCTTTTCCCTAGTGGGGGTGGTGGGGGTCACAGCACACCCAGCAGCCCTGGGCCCAGACAGGACACTGCGGCGGGGGTACTGCAGGGGTCTCGCTCAGGACCGGGGTGCGAGGGCTCACTCAGCAGGAAGATGTGCTGCAGGCTCTGTAGGTGTGAACTGTGGAACTGCTGCTGCCTCCTGTGGGACAGCTCCTGGGTCACCATGCAGCGGTCACATAGGCCAGCCCGCAGCCTGGGGGCGGGGGTGGGGGTGGGCAAGAGGCCGAGCTCAGTGGGCAGCCAGGTGTCCCACAGCCACGAAGGGTGCACCCTCATGCTCCCTGCTCCAGGCATGCCTGCCCCTTTCCCACGCTGTGCTCTGGTGGGACCCTGTCCGAAGGGCTCCCTGCGGGCAGGCCCACTGACCGGTTCTCCAAGACCCGCACGTTCTCCTTCAGTGCCTTCTGCTGCTCCCGGAGCTGCTGGTTCTTGGCAAAGAGCTCCTCCACCCGCTGGGTGTCCCTGTGGTCGAGGAACGAGAGATCCCCTCTGCTGGGGTCCCCAGGGCCCCGCCCTGCCCTGGCCTGCCCCCCACTCTCCCCAGGGTCCTGCTCGGGGCACCACCTGGTGGGCACCGTACTTCCATTTTTTCTTCTAAGTCACTGCGCATCTGAAGTGCAGCCCTGAGACCCTGCTCAAGGGAGCTTCATGCGGGTGGGCGGGCAGAGAGAGCTGCTCCCGTGGCCTCCCGTGAGCGTGCTCAGGGCAGCTGGGCAGTCCCTCTGTGAGTGGGAGGTTGTCCTCTGGGCCAGGTGAGCATCCTGGGGCAGGAAGATGCCCTGGGGAGGGCTGTCCCCCTAGGGTTTCTGCTCAGTGGTGGGCTTGGGGCTGTTGCTTTGCTGTGTGACCCGGACACTGCCCCTCCAAGCCTCAGTTTCTCTCCTTGCATCCTGGGGTTGTGGCACCTTGGGGGCTTGGTGGTCTGATCTCCCCCGGGGGCCACTGGCCCCCCTACCCTCACCCCCATGCCCACCTGGCCCCGGGCTGCTGTGAACTTACCGGCTCCTCTCTGAGGTCAGCTCCACAAGCTTGCTCCGCAGGCCTAGTGGAGAGTCGAGGCTGAGGGTCCCATGCCCCCCGCCCCCTTCAGCCCCCCTCTGCCTGTGGTGCCTGCAGACCCTGGCCATCTGCTGCCAGGGCCTCTCCCAGCCCTGTTCATTGGATCCCTCCTGGCCAGTGCTGGTCACCCCAGCCTCAGCTCTGCCTGCCACTGTGGTCTGGGCCCAGGGTTTGGGCTGAGCGCCCATTCCCTCAGGGTCCCAAGCTCTGTGACATCTGTCAGGAGGCTGGCAGGGATGGGGCCTGCGGTCCCGGGAGTGACGTGCCACTTTGGCCACTCCTGGGATGGACAGTGAGTGCCCATAGGGCAGTTCTGGGGCACAGCAAGAGCCAAGATGAAGTGCTTGGAGGGCAGTCCCAATACACTTCCTCCTCTCTGTGCTGTGTGACTCGGAGAGGGTGTGCAGGACCTAGGGGCTAGGGTGGGTCAGGCTGTAGTCCCAACCAGCAGCCCTGCCTCTCTGGAGACTTGGGAGTGGGGGTAGCTTGGGTAAGGCCTGAAGTGAGGGATCCCCGTGGGCATGGAATGGGGAGCTGGGTGGGGCCGGGCCCAGCATGGGGGTCAGTACAGTGGCGACCTCAGTGTGAGGCATCCAGCCCCCTCCCCAGAGAGGGGAGTCCCTGCTCTGCCCTGCCTGCCCCCAGCCAGCACCGGGAGCACCAGGGGCAGGCTGGCCGGATGCGGCTGGAGGCAGATGATCTGTGTGTCCCAAGGGCGGCTCCAGGCCTCTGGCCAGCACTGCCATGGTGCCCGGCCATGTGGCCGGAGTCCGAGGGGAGTGGAGCCCCGCCCACTCACCCAGGAGCTCCTTCTCATGGGCGTCCTTCAGCCGGTTCAGCGACTCCACGAAGCTGGCCATGGCCCCCTGTGCCCGCTGCGCCCTACTGCCCCACAGCAGCCAGCCTGCCGGAGAGGGGGCAAGCTGCAGCTTAGGAGTGTGTGCCTGACAGGGGGAGGGTGGGGCTAGAGGACCTGGCCCACCCACCCAGAGCTCCCTGAGGCTCATCTCCTGAGTCCTGAGCTCACTCTGGCCCCTGGGGCTCAAGCCCCACCTCCTAGTCACCTCGCAACCAGTTGTTGGCCCTGCATATCCAGGCCTGATGGTCATCACCTGGCAGGCCTTCGTGCCCACCCCTGATGCTCTGGGTCTGGGTTCCCGAGCTGCTGTCCCTGGTCAAATCCTGCCCTAAAGTCTAATCCCAGCAGCGAATGCTCTGAGTGACAGCTTGGCCCGGCCCCCAGTGCCTGTCGGCTACTCACAGCCCCTAGGCGCAGACACCCCCACCCTGGTGGACCAGGCCCATAAGAAGGGAGGTGACTGAGCATGGGTAGCCACAGTCAGGATAAAGCTCCCTGGGGGGTGGGACTCCCCAAACCTGTTCTGCAGATCTACCTGGGGCAGACCCCTGCCTGTGTGGTCTGTGTGTGTGTGGGTCTCAGTATCCACCAGTCCCTCCCCCGCCCCCCACCCCCACCCCCCTGCACACGACCTCACAGATAACCTCTGCCTTCAGCGCTCAGTGCCTGGCTGCGCCCACCCTGCCCACAGGTGGCAGGTGCTCATTTCAGGAGGAAAACTAAGGCCAGGTGGAGCCTCCTCTTTCACTGCCGCCCTGCCTGCCTCCCCCACGGCTTCAAAAGCACCCTCTGGGGACCCTGGCGTCTGTCGCCCACCACTGCGTTGTCCTGCTCAGCCCAGCACAGCGGGAGGGGCTGGGTGCGTGGGCCCCAGGAGAAGCGCCGGTAATGCTGGGCCAGGTGGGCCCAGGAGGGTGCACCCAGGTGACAGGCATGGGAGCTGCTCATCCCACAACACTAGGGCCTGAGGCAGGTCCTGGGCAGGGCTCAGGAGTTCCTGCACCTGTGCTGTAGGGCTGCTCTTTGGGGGTCCTGGGCACTACCACCTCCCGGGGAAAGGGGCACAGAGGTAGTGGGTCCACGTGGGCAAGGCTGCTCAGGAGAGGTTGGCACTGTGGCTCTGGGGAGTCAGGAGACAACAGTCAAGCAAGCCTGGTGGCCTCTGACCACAGGGCCAGGGTGGTGGTGGTAGGTGGGGGGATGACTCTGAGTGTGGACCGTGACCCCCAGGAGGTCTGACCTGGGGTTTGTCTGGTGGGGGGGGGACTCTGACCGTTGGGTGGGGCCCCAGCCCCAGACACTCCGATCAGCTGTTGGCCTCCGAGGTGTCACTAGTGCAAGGCCTGGACTGCCAGGGTGGGTGGGGTGGAGGTGGGGGGGGGGATGGGCAGCCTGCAGGTGTCTGGGGGGCCAGGGTGAGTTGGTTGGGCAGGCCTGGCTGCTGAGCTCCTGGGTGGAGCAGGGCCCTCAGGACTGCTGGCCCTTCAGACTGCGGACCCTCGGCCTGGATGAGCTCCCTCTGAGCCTTCCCTCGCGCGGCAGCTCCAGCCAGGTGACCCAGGTAAGGCAGGTGCTTGACTTGGAGCCGGGCAGACAGGATGCTGGGTGAGTGGCAGGCGAGATGCTTCTGGCACCCTAGGGTGCAGCCTCCATCAGAGCCTCTCTCTGACCCCAGGTCCTGTCCCCACACGGCCCCCAGGGGGCAGGCAGTCGATTTACCAGGCCCCTCTTCTTTGGGACACCCTCAGGAACCATTGCCTCAGGCCCTTCTGAGGGGGATGCACCCCTAGTCCAGGGAGTCCAGGGTTCCCCTGCACAGCCCTCCCCTGTCCTGGTCAGACCTGGGGCAGCACAGACCCTGGCCCAGGCCTGCCCTTTGTCAGCCTGGAGGCACCCTGAGCTTGCTGAGTGTGCCCTCCCCCGGAGCGCTGAGCAGCACTACGTCTGTCTGTCTGTCTGTCTGTCTATCTGTCTGTTGGTCTACCCCAGCTCCTGGGAGCCCAACGCCTGCTGGGAGGTGAGGAGGCGGCTCTGGGAGATGGTGGGGCCACAGCTCCTGGAGGACTGTGGGTGCCGGTCTGCTCACACTGATAGTGGGGCAGGCAGGATTTGAACCCGGGTCTGGCTGGCTCCAGGGTCTCACCCACCCTCTGTGGGGTCCCTCTGCACAGTGCCTGGCCCTGCCTCAGTTGCCCTGTCTGTAAAGCTGACCAGCCCCTGGCCCTCGTCGGTGGAGGCACCCTACCCCTGGGCTGCATCCGTGGGTGCTGGGCACCGCCACCCCCACCCCCCACCCCCCCCACTCCCGCCTCCAGCCTCCCGGGCAGAGTTCTGTGTGGCCCTCTGAGATGCGCGAGGCTGCCCACAGCAGACTCACTCTGCAGGTGAGGCAGAAATGTCACCTGTCCAGTAGGACTTAGACTCTTCCGATGACCTCCTGGGCAGCATCCAGAGAGGCGTCCCTGCTAAGGCAGGTCCTAACCCCAGCAGATGTGACGTCCCCATGACACACATGTGCACATGTGATACGACACTGCACATACACAGAACCACAGCCCATTCAACAACTCTGCACACATGTGTCCCCGCCCTCAGGATCTGAGCTAGCTCACACAGCTCATGCGCGCGCGCGTGTACACACACACACACACACTCTGTGTGCAGGCAAACAGGCATGGGCTGCTTGCTGGGCGTGGTGGCTCAGGTAACAGCAGCCTGCAACCCGATTCCCCAGGAGGGGAGGCACCTGTCCTCGGTGCCCGCTGTCAGCCCTGGCTGGCTGCCTGGCTGGGGCCAGTGGGGGAGGCAGAGCAGAAGGTGGCTGTGTGTCCACATTGCCCACCCCCTCGTCCCTGCTGCCCTCTGCCCCCATGAGGTCCAGGCCGTTGGGCAGGGTCCAGATAGTGTTCAGCCTCCGGCCTTTCCTGGGGTCCTTTGTCCCCTCACGCCGTGACCCTAGAGCATAACTTCCTGGTGCAGTTAGCTGGGCTGTGCCTCCTCCTGGACCCCCACACCTAGCCTCTCGGAACGGCCACACCCTCCCGGACTAGGTGCCCCCCCACCCCCACAGCTGGGGCTGCTCAGCCCTCATGTCCTCAGAGTCAGCAGGGCAGGACAGTCCAGCCGCCACCCCCTCCCTCGTGGGGACCAGACCCGGGCCTCCTCTCTGGCCAGCTCCCGGGCGTGCGGCCCAGTGGCCCTTCTCGGGGGAGCCAGGCAGCCGGGTGCCCCCACCCTCGGTACTCACATGGCCCTGGTGCCTCCGACCCTTTGCGTGAGCTGTGAGCGGAGTGCCTGTCCCCTCAGCGATGGAGCTGGGCTGAGCACCGTGAGTCCGCACAGGCAACTAGACATGGTTCGGGCCAAACCTGCTTTACTGGTTTCCTGTCTCGGGAGCAGCAGGGAGGCAGGGGCTCCCAAAGCTGCCCAACGGGTTCTGCTGTCCACACGCAAGTGGCGGAACAGGTCTGTCCTGGGACCACAGAGCCATGATTGTTCCCGTAATCAACAGCAGCTCCCTGTTGGCTGAGCAGCGGATCCTGAGGAGCTGGGGGCCCCAGTCAGGTTAAGGTGGGGCAGGGCTCCTGTCCCCACCCTCAGGGTAACCCTAAGGCCCTCTTTCCGGCCTTCTCTGACTGGGGGCTTGGGCACAGACCCAGTCTGCCTTAGACAGGCTGAGACCTGGAGTCTAGGGCTGTGGGACACCTCCCACCCCTTCCCTCCGGAGGACAGATGGCCCAGGAGGCTCGGGGCCCTGTGCTGATCACCCTCCCCGGGCTCTGGGTGTGGCAGCTCTGGGCGCTGGGACCTGGTGAGCGGGTGTCGAGTGGGCTGCAATCATGGGTGTCATGCAGCTGCTCTCTGGACAGGGTGTTTGGTCACCCTCAGGCAGAAGGGGCCTGCTCACTGATGCCGCACGCTGTTGGGGAGACTCGAGTGTGACAGCCCCCAGGGCTGGGAACAGCCCATGACCTCAGCGCACCTGGCACGGCCCAGGGTTCGTGGGGAGGCTGGCGTCCTGCTCAGCAGTCGCAGGAGGCCACCAAAGGGCCTCCCAGGCCTGGGCCGCGCCGGGTGTCTTCTCCGTGGACGGTCCTCCAAGCCCTCCCACCTGGGCCTGGGGCCTGGGCGTGGCATGTTTGCTGCTGGGTACACAAGTGTGGTGTTGGCGTGCGTACAAGTATGACCACAGACACGGGGTGGCGAGCATGTGTACATGGGTGAGAGTGTGTGCATGTGGGTGCAGTACATGCACAGGCATGCAGGTGTGTGCATATATGCAGGTGTGTGCATGGGAGTACAGATGTGTGCATGGACACACGGGTGTGCATAGCTGTGCAGGTGTGTGTACCTATGTGGAAGTGTGTATAGGTGTGTGTCTGTGTGTGCATGTGGGTATAGGTGTGTGCCTGTGTTTGCATGTGAGTATAGGTGTGTGTGTGCATGTAGATCGGTGCAGGTGTGTGTATGGGTGTGCAGGTCATGCATGGAGCGCAGGTGGTCCAGGCATGTGTAGGAAGGAGAGGTGTTTGCATGGATGTGCAGGCCCATGTGCACTTGAACCTGGGTCAACAGGTGGTTCCTTAGGAGATTGAGTGCTCAACTGTGGGTGCACAGGCTTGGGCAGGTTCTTACATGTGTGGGCCAGGTGCATAGGTTCATGCTGATGGTTTATCTTCTCCCCCCTTCGCAGCCCCTGCAGGGCAGAGACTGGAACTGGGCCCACCTGACTGCTGATCTGAGGGTTGGGGGCTTGGTGCCTGGGACTCTGTCCCCACTCAGGTCTAGATCCTGAGCTGGGCCACCCTGGCTGAGGAGCTCAGCCTCTCTGAGCCCACGGCCTCTTTTGCAAAGGGGACTTCGTGAGGGAGGCTGGCTGATATAGGCAGAGCCTTTGTAAAATTCTCAGCAGGGGCTCAAATGTGGGACAAAGGAGTAACATTCAAGATGCAACCCAAACCCATAGCCACCCGAGAGAAGGGTCCGGACTCTCTCTGGGAG